GCCTTGGCAACTAACAATCGGCCTGAGTGGAATACCGTCTTTTTTGAATCTTAGGGAGACCGTATATGTGAGGTAACTTGGTGTAACGCTGCGATAACTGCCTATACGTCTTGGGTACGAAGTGATTTTTTTGTTCTTGATTAGGATCTGTGACAGTTTGCGTTCCGTTTTCATAGTAGGATAAAATTTTTTTCACTTTGCTGTAGCTACCATTGCTAATGAGGTCTTCCAGTTTTCTTGTATAATCCGATTTGTCCATCACTACAGTCGCATTACCTTTGTCATCCGGTAGTAGGATGATGTTTTCGTTCCTCTGTAGTGATTCAATCGCCAGTCTCTCCAGTTTTGTTATGTTAGACCTGGGCAACTTGGCCCTCTCCAAGGCCTGTCTCACTTTCCATCTCAGTTCATCCGCCTGAGCCTGAGGGATGTTCAAGGCCACCTCCTCTACTCTGGCAATGATGTCCAAGTATGGCAACCTTTGTCTGATGGTTGTGGCGAAGTTGAGACCCATTATTCAATTTGACTCCTCATTGAGGCACAAAGCTGATATTGGCTGATGTTTCACTGGTGGGTGATGGAATTTGTGCGTCACCTTCTGATCTTTCAATCTATTTAATTTTTGCAAATTTAGGCGAATTTTGACTACATCAAATTCATGTGTGAAGAATTTATCCAAGTCATTTTGGATCCTTCTCTGGTCTTTTTCATTAGTAATTCTGTTGAAGAAATCTTCGAGCGTCTAAAGATATGAGCATGTAGTCGATGTTTCATCCAATGATCGTTTTGGATTCTCTCTCGCTTAAAGTACTAAGCTCCGTTCCATCTTTCAAGCAAAATTTTTTTTTTTTTTAAAAAATTTAATTCAAATAATTATATTTTTTCGGCTATTGTTTTGAAACATGAGAATAAAATATTTATGTGTTGGAATCATATTTTTTAAATAAATAATTATACTTATGCTCTACTTTTGTATCGAGCACTATTTTTTAAAAAATAATAACAAAAAATAAAAAAGAACTTTGGATTATTTACGAAACGAGTTCTTGCCTATTTTCTATATTTTTTCACACACACACACACACACACACACACACACAACACACACACACACACACACACACACACACACACAAATATATATATATATATATTAAATTATATGTATATATATATATATATATATTAAAAACATGTATCTATGCATGCATGATGGATGCTGATAAATTATTGGTTCGTCCCTCTATTCCAAATCATTAATTCAAGGATCAAATACCAGAATAATGATTTTATGTTGGAGAACATTTCAGCCACTACCGTCGTATAATTTGCCTTATTTATCAGTGATTTGCTCATTTCTTTACACGCAAGGTCTATCAAACATGGGGGGGGGCTAATGGCATTACCCTGATATTCAAGCCCATGATGTGTTGACAGAGGGTTTGAATAGTTATCCTTCATCTGTTTCAAAGGTAAATAAAACCACAATCTTTACTATTTTACCTATAACCGGAGTACGCACACACACGTACATTTGTGTCAAAGTAAGCGCCACGAATTTGGCCGGAATTCTAACGCGCCTCACCGATCTCTCTTTCCGAACCGATATCAGACTTACGAATTTGAAACAAAACATATCAATAAAAGCACCCTTTTGATTCTCCTCTGAAGTGATTTCCCTGTTAAAAGCGCTTAACACTTCTGCATATCAAAGTTATTTGGATTTCAGTATTCTATTCGCATTACCAAATGGATCTATACGCAACAGCTCGAATTCTATTTCCATGTTACAGATAATAACATTGTATAAAGAAAGAAAAAATAAATAGTTCGATATAAAAAGAAATTTATTTTTCACTAGTTTTCTTCATCCTATTATTGATTTTTATCATAACGTTCGAGGTCAAATAAACACCAACTATTAAGATAAGCCACATAAAATTGGAGTAACTAGTGTTTAACGAAACTTGAACTTGCAACTTGCATCTGGTTTTATTTGAAAGACATATAAACCTAAAAGAAAAGTTGACATATATACTGAAAGAAAGAAATTTTTGCAAATATATCATAATACTTTGCACATAGCATGTAAAGACGCTTTGAACATTATTACCGAATTGGGAATTCGATTCTGGGTGGATTTGAAGCTTTGTTTTTTTTTTTTTTTTTTTTTTTTTTGTTTTTTTTGTTTTTTTTTGTTTTGTTTGTTTTTTTTTTTGTATTTTGTTTTGTTTTTTAAGCGTTTCACCCCAAGCAAGGCGGGAAGCCACTAGGACGCAAGGAGTTACAGAAGATTTGGAGCAAGATCAGATAGGAGTGATAGAGGAAAGGATGAGGAGAAGGATAGTGGATAGATAAAGGCAACTGGAGATGTCGATTGACATTACATTTGAATAGTTGGAGATTATAGCTCTCAGGGAAACTGGAATAGGGAAGCGAGTTACACAGGCGAGAGTGTGCCAAATTAAGCTTTGTAAATATGATGGGGTCTTCAGCATGGGAAATGGTTAACGAGCTAGTCTGTTTCGCCATAACAACTGAATATTTAATTGAGTGTCCCATATGAGTGGCCTTATGTCAAACTACGCTTTGTAACTATTTTCGGCTCCTCGGTGTAGGGAAATGATTAGTGAGCTAATCTATATAACCATTACTATTGAATAATGAATTCTGTCCTCATAGAGTGGCCAGATTATTTTCGTAAAATATTTTGGACTGCTCGGCATGGAGTAATAGGCAACAAGATAATTTGATTAACTATTACTACTGTGTAGTGAGTTCGGTCCTTATACTTGTGACTTTGTGTCAAACTAAGCTAGGTTTACTAAGTTTAGGTCAATATCAAAAGAAGCAACAAGAGACTTGAAAAATGTAAATTCGCAACAGTTTTAACTGACGTATTTTGAATTTGTATTCACAACCATTTTTCTAAAGCGGAACATAGTTTTAAGACCATGAACCTTTAGCAAGGATATAAAAATATTCAATATTTTAGTCAATTACAGGATCAAATTAATAATGCATTACATTTCAATAGACCAATATGCATCATCATCGTCTTTTGTATCGAAATATAGACATTTTATTTTCAGATATAGACATTTCGATATGCGATTTAGAATTTGTTTTTGCAATATCAATGATTTAGGTAATTGTGAGCTAAAGTTAACCTCGACTCAGAACCACATTTTATTTCCTCTTCTCAACAATAATGTCTCAAAATGGATATGTATGCCTTTATATAGATACTTCAGCACTTGGATACATAAAACTTTCTAGTGAGTTCCGATAGAAATAAATAAAATATAAAAATAAAATATATAGACAAAAATAAAAATAAATCAAATAAAAATAGAAATAAGGCATTTGCGTTTTCCTTTAAAACCCTTATCTCTTTCTTTCTTTCATTTTTTCTTTTTCTCTCTCTCTCTCTGTCTGTCTCTCTCTCTCTAAAGTTCTCTTTATCTACTTTTCTCTCAACTAACGAGAAGGCAACATCACAGAAGAAGAAGAAGAAGAAGATGAAGAAGAAGAAGAAACTGAACTTGGCCGTAAAACGCCGGAAGTTTGTGGGAACAGAGCTTGCTTCGTTTTGGCTCCACGTTATAAAAAAGCGCAAAAGAAAGAAACGCCAGAAAATAAAATAATTTTGGCCAATCAAAAAAGAAAAAAAAAGAAAACAAAACAAAGACTTGATGTTAGCCGAAACCAAGTTTCGCGCCAGAGTCTTGTAGCCTGGTCAAAAGTCAAACGACAAGAGAGAAAGGCTCGACAAGATCAATCTCGTCCTTCACCAACATTAGTATGCAGTCAATATCATCGGCTCTTCCATGCAAGAATTGGTCTACACAGTCATTAGTCATTCCATACGGAAGCGATCGTCAAAAAAGAAATTAAATTCTTGGATATGAGATAAAGCTGACGACGATATTACCTCAGCATTATTTCATTAAAGAACTAGCTTTTCACCATTTAGAGGTTATAATATATGAATGACTATTATTTTCCAAGTATGCTTGCCTGCTAGGTTTCCTAGCTAATCCCTGTTACAGTCACCTGCTCAGGGACATTTGATTTTTTTTCAATACCCACAGAGTAAATCTGTGGTTTATACTGCCATCGATTCTTCTATGCAAAAATTGGTCTACTTATTCATAGTGCCATCATCACAAAGGAAGCAATCATCAAAGAAGAAATTAAATTCTTGGATACGAGATAAAATCGACGAATAACAAATAAATCTCAAAACACTTTGGATCATATATTGGGAAATTGTTAACCTTCTTGTGAAAACTAGAAGGTTGATAGCATCCATGATAAAATACATAACTTTCATATATTCTTTAAATTTGGACACTAGCTGCTGGGCTATTGGTACAAGTGAATGCGCTACAGATGCCACTACCAGGCATATGTGTGGGAAAATTAAATTAAATTTATAGACATGATAGTGTATTTATTATGACTGTTTTCGTCATGTATCGAGTTATATGAGTACCGTATACCACACCTGTGTGTGTGTGTGCGTGTTGAAATTTATATGTATAGGCATCATCTACTTAATATTATTGTAGCTAGTTTTGACTATGCATCCGTACTTATGTGCAATGTATATTTAAAAATGTGAAAGGGGGAATGCATGTATAATACACAGGAATGTAGATCAAAAGCGAACCGCCCTGTGTGTATATGCGTGTGTTTAAAAATGTATGTAAATATGAAAGAGTATGTATGTATGTATGTATACGCATAGGTAGGTAAATCAGTATGCTAGTGAACCACCCTGTGTATGTGTATATGTGTGTGTACGCACGCGCGTGTGTGTTCTAATGAGCGTGAGAATTCCAGTCGTTACTAACATACGTGTTGTTCGTGAAATCCAAGTTTAAGTTTTGTTTAATGTCTCTATAAACAGGTCATTGTCAGTATCCTCCTCCTCTGAATTGGAATTAGCTAGTGACTTTTTGCCACGTGTTCATAATTGTCTACTTAGTGGTGTAATGATTGCCTCTTCTTTAGTCACAGTGGCCGACAGTAGACCAGACCAGTCCAGGAAACCCCATCTTTCAACGAGAAAAAAAAATTCACTTTAAAATCAAATCATATGTCAGTCCAATAGCAAGTCGACTATTCACCCGAGCTCAATAGCAGGCTACAGCTTTATTATCTTCCCTTATTGAGCTAAAGTGTAAACACAGCAGCCTTTGTTGTATCGTTCTTTTCTCTCTTTGTTGTTCTCTTTCTCTCTCTCTCTCTCTCTCTCTTTCTCTCTATTTTCCTTGCTTTTCTCTTATCACGTAAGCACACTTCCTGCACTGCATAGCCTTGCCGGTAAAATTGCAGTAGTCTCTCTGTTGTGCTTTTGACAGAGAGGGGGAATTAAAGAGAAGGAAACGGAGAAAGTAATCGTTCAGGTTGAAGAGACCAGCTTTTTTATTAGGACTTTCTTCTAGTTACCCTTGGAGAAAAAAAGCGATAACGACAACTATTATCATGGGACATCCGAGATCATCTAGTGTTGCTTTGGGATGCTTAGCCACTCTCAGTCTTTTGATCTGTACCTGCATTTCGCAGCAGCAACCCCAACAACCACAATATCAACAACATCATCCACAACAACATCCTCCACCACAACATCCTCCACCACAACATCCTCCACAACAACATCCTCCACAACAACACCCTCCACAACAACATCCTCCACAACATATTCATCAACAACAACAACGACATCCACAACAGCAACAACCACCTCCAAATCTACCAAATGAACTGAAAATCGAACTTATTTCCAGACCTTCAAATTGCCAGAGACTCTCGAAAAAATCTGATTTGTTGACAATACACTACAATGGAAAGCTGGCTGCGACTAACGTAGAATTTGATAACAGGTGAGTTAACACACGCGACGCAATACAAAAGCACTGTTCCTGATTTTGATCGTGTTTAGTTTCCCGTATATTTTACTTTTTCTTAAAGAAGCTCGCTTCTAAGCCATACGCCAACTCTAATAAACACTACAATCTCCCTCTCCTCATACAGAATTCTCATGGATTTTAATAAGCGTACATTATCGTTTCTTTTTACCTTTTAAATACTTGTGCAATGAGTGATGATTTACTTATTTAAGTTTTACGACCTTGAACCTCATAAAAAGACGTACAAACCATTTTCAGCTGATAAAGCAATCTTAAAGTGTACTGTAAAAACAATAACACCTTTTTTTCTTTTTCGTTAGAAAAAAAAGTCGAGTTTTTAGTTACTACGTGCAAAATAATTTTTGCAACAATTTTTACTTTAATGATGACCATATACTTGCAGTTATATCCGCATTTTCAACTTAAAGCAAAATATTAGAAAATGGGGAATTGAAATGATCATCACTCATTAATGTACTAATTCTATGCATCTGGTAGTTTGTTGTAAAAGTCATATGATGATTCCAACTAATATTATGTAAAAGTATTTTTTTTAAATTTTGCGATTAAGAATTGTCATTCTTTCACACATTTTCAAACTGTTTCATCACTTATCTTTAAAACACAACTTTTCAAGCTATATGGTCTTCTTCAACATACAAATATTTTTTATTGTTGTTTTTGTGCTCGGTGTTTAAAATGGTAACAAAAATCTAGTATCAGACTAGTACTAGGGATTTGAGTTCATATAAGCTACTTAGTGACCTTTTTCTTCCTTCAGGACGTAAGCTATCATGGCTCTCCACAACTTTCTATCCTTTGTAACTTTAAGTAATATTTGCCCTCTTACTATAATTCAGTCCCTGTTCTGTCATCCATTTACACAAGCTTGTTAGGTAGGTAACTCATTGCTTCTCACATTACTCTTCAATATATTCTGTGTGTGTCAGATTCACTAATCTCTCTTTCCTCATTATGGGTCCCAGAAATTTCAACTATTTCCTTCTTATTGTGTCTTTCTTGTTTTGCTTTTTCTTAAGCCTTCCTCGTTGTTCACCTGTTCCATCCATGGTATTCTTTGCATCCTTCTGTAGAAACACATACTTTTCTTTTTGTAAGCCATATATATATCATCGTTTCTAAAAAAAAAAAAAAAAAAAAAAAGGGACATCTTCGAGAAGTAATTTTTTTTTATTTGATATACATGTATATGAGAGAATAAATACATACTGAAATGGCCAGCTACTCGTCTTCCGAGCACACCTGTTTGCTGGCGCTAATCCCTGTTACAGGCGCTTGCTCAGGCACATTTTTGTGTTTGTTCAAAACCCACAGAGCCCACCTCTGGTTTATACTGGAACTATGCAGTGTTTCTGGGAGGGAGAGAAAGAGAGAGAGACAGACAGACAGACAGACAGACAGACAGAGAGCGAGAGCGTTATCTAATGTGATCAACAGTCTGAACAAAGCCAGCACGACCAAACCCTAGGTCACGATGACTTGTGACTTCGTGCTAGTACAACCATCGACGGCTCTTAAAGGGTTACGTCTACCCAATTTCACTAACACGACTTGGGTCAACCCGTGGTGTGGTTTTCAAGCACTTCCTAAATGTGCCGCACGCTGGTACCGCCTTCCCCAGATCGATAACATCAAAAAGTCACCTTGCTGACAAATCTACCATGGTGAGATTCGAAAGCGAACGTTCTAACCACGTGCCCATCACAACATATATACATACCTTAGCTATGTTCTATCAGTAATCTTTGTTTTGATTTCTATAATAATATAATTTATAATAGATTACAGTATACTTGCTTGCCAGAGACTTCTATAGTATAACATTACACAATATATTTCTACTGTAAAATCATTAGAAAAGTGTTTACCTTACGCATGTAATAGTTTTATTCTACTAAAATTTTGGTACATTTTTATAAAAACATGAAACCAAAAGCTATCAAATTCTTACAAACGGCGAGACTGGTTCCTGTCAAATATTAAGCAGTTTGTGTATTTAATTTGCATAACCTATTTAAAGTTTTACATGCGGGATGTGCATGTAGTGTAGCGGATATCATCATGGAAAGTGGACTTTTCAAGTTCCGCTACAATGTTACGCTCAAATTTAGTGCAAATGCCACTGTGAAAGGAATGAATCTGTCTCTTCTTATTCCGACACAAGCTATATCAGGATAGACTGGGGTCTGTATCCTTGGTTAGCAACAACTCTGATTCCAGACTGTGAACAAGAAACTACTCCAATGTCTTTACCAAGAAGTCATAGCAATTCACAGATAATAAAGAAATCGAATCTGTGGGGAGTCATACTCGCTTACATCCTGAAGGGATATGGCATTAAATAAAATTTTAATTTTAACAACCTTTTTATATTGCTGATATGGATCTAATACTACGTCCAGTCGATGGGTTATTAAATAACCAGCGAACGAATCAACCCGTTTATTTGCTTCTGTTCGTCAAAGAGATGTCAACTTTTTGGAGACGCTCTTTCAAGAAGCTACTTTCGATGTTTTTAGACTACATAAAGAGTTGATTTTTCTACATTCACTGCATTTTTAGTTATACATTTTGTTAACAAATTTAGTCTAACAAAGAACACAAGGTCTTGTAATGACGATAGGAGCCGTGTGCATTGTTTATAACATCGTATTAATTTGATTGGGCTACAGCTATTTTCTTCCTAACAAAGAATGTTATTGGAATATGTCGACCTTTTGCATTTTAATTTTAAAGAGAATTTTTCTAAATGCGTGATTTACTCTTTGAATATATGTACGAAAAGTAATCCAACTATATTTATTAGCTAAATTTTAAGCTGATAAATGTTATTGTTGAATTGGTTTTCGTATCTGCATATTTTAAAAAAAACTTCATTTATTCAAACTGCAGTTTTTTGAAATTCGAAAGAAAAGAATCTTTATTCATGAAAAGCTGAAAAAATATTTATTATTTTTTTCTTTCTGTCAGTTCTTTAAAACAGTTAAACTTAGGTAACGTTTTTTATTCTTCAAGATTTTTCGCCATTATTAAGTCCTTAAGTTGCTAATTTGTTAAATTACCATCGACAGTCAAAATATAATCTATCAATCAGAAAAAATTAAAAAAAGGCATTATATCAATCACACCCGTTTTTATTCGCTTGCATTGATATTTTTCTTGTGTTCAATGCATAGATTGATCGTAGAAACTTGCTAAATCAAATTTAACATAAAAATTGCAAAATTTAGCGTTTAACCATCGAATTTATTTATTTTATTTATTATTGATCTATCACCAGGGATATTAATAGTTTTAAGAGCAGGAAAATGAGTACCGCTAAGTGATATTAGTGGAGTAGCGGTATAATGAGTAAAGTATTAAAAAAAACTAAAAAAAACTGACTCACACGAGCCCAAATGCAACTGGTGCTAAAATGCAATTGTAACTGTTTCAGACCTCTAAATACTGGCAGAATTTGCATTGTATTATATATATATATATATATATATATATATATATATATATATATATATATATATATATATAAAATATATATATGTAGAAAGTGTATATATATATATATATATATATATAAAATATATATATGTAGAAAGTGTTTATGTGTGAGAGAGGCGAAAGACTAACTGCTTCATAAATCCGTTTTATCCTGGGCAGGTCAACAATTAGGTCATAGATATTGAATATTTGCACTGATTACAATGCAAATTCTGCCAATTCGTGTGAGTCAGTTTTTTTTAGTTTTTTTTTATATATATAGTGTCCCAATAAGGTATTCACTTTTGATTTCCTATAACTTCTTAAATATTTTTTTCAGATCCATATATTTAATTTCGTTAATTTAAACCGTTAATCTTCTGTGTAAGCATCTTCTTATTTTAACTATTAATCTGGTTTGCAAGTCAATAAGTAAATAAAGATTACATTTATTGTTATTTAAAGAGCGGGTAGATTTGTTTTAGGAACACACTGTATATATATATATATATATATATATATATATATATATATATATATTATAATAGGTAACAAATCTGTTGGTTTATAATCCTAGTAATATAAAATATTAAAACTGATCCACAAAAAGAGCTAAATATATTTATTATTACAGAGCATATATATATGTGTGTGTGTGTGTGTGTGTATATATATATATATATATATAAAAAAAAAAAATATATATATATATATATATATGCGTGTGTGTGTGTCTATGTATGGATATATATTTGTATGTATATATATGTATACATATATATGCACATACAAATATATAGAGAAATATATATATATACATATATATATATATATATATATATATATGCATATATATACACATATAGATATACATAAATATATATATAAATACATACATGCATACACACACACATATATATATATATATATACATACATATATATATATATATATGTGTGTGTGTGTGTGTGTGTGTGTGTGTGTGTGTGTGTGTTTATATATAATTATTTAATTATAACTTCCTTCATTTCTGGGTGTAAATGCTACAAAAATTACCCAAACTTCGGAGAGCTTTCGGCTATACTTTTAGCCATTATCAATTCATCCTTGATATTGGGTAAAAGCACCGGCAAAAGCGCTCGGACATACAAAAAAATTTAAACAATTTCTATATGATTTACGTCAAGAAAAGAACAAAATTATAAGAACACATGAAAAATTAAATAAAAAGCTTAACCGCAGTACCTTGTCAGTTGTTTTCAATGAAACTTCCTCTTTTGATTTTCTTTTCTCAATTCTGTTGTCTGCATATATATACACATATAGATATACATAAATATATATATAAATACATACATATACACACACACACATATATATATATATATATACATATATATATATATATATGTGTGTTATGTTATTGATTTTAAATTTATATATATATATATATATATATATATATATATATATAT